GGTGAGTTTTTTATAATCTTGCAAGAAAAGTGGCATTGGTGTTTATTTTAATGTTTAATATTAAACTCTGCGTCACTTCGTTGAATGATTGAATGTTTTGCCGCGGGGATAATGAAAGTGTGGGAGTAAATTTGGTGCAAAATTTTTGTCCAGTTTTAAAGAGACGTGCATAGCGAAAGAATCAAAACTAACTTTTCAAGATGACACTCTAAACTCCGGGAATACATTTGCACCCCATTAATTTTCAGTGCCGTTGCCTAGCAAATATCGAACTAGTACTGTTGTATCAGTAAATCTAGCCTGAGTGAATATAGGTAAAAACATATAGGCGACTACAGGAAGCTTGTTCCGACAAACACGGAACCAACTTCGCCATTTATTTGGGTAAATTACAAATTGTGAAGTCAGCTAGCTGTATCAACCAAAAACAAACTTAAACTGACCTTTCCGTTGGGAATCGTTCAATTTATTTTTCTTTGACTTAAAATTACTCTTAGCGGGTTTCTTAAAAAATAGAAGGTGCATTGTTTAAGAGGAAACACAAAACCACTTATAAAAACACTCAAACTTAAGCTCCCGATATTTGCATATGTTGTAGTAAACTTTTACCAGTTGTAAATTATTGATAACTTAGAAATGTCGGTTAGAAATGTGGTTTCAAGGCAAGATCGGACGAACAACACAAAATATAATCTTCTCAAGGTTATTATTAGTAATGATTTGTTAACAATCTTACAACTATCAAACTGTTCTAAAATATTTTACGCCCGTGAAGTAAAACCGAAATTTAGGTAAAAAGAATCTTTGCGTAGGAGTACAAATTTTCAAGACCTATATTCAAATGTTTTCTGTTCGTATTAGACAAGCTCTTCCTAATGTGATTCTTAGGCAATAGATCTTCCCTTGAGTCACGGCATAAATTCTGGTGGGTGAATGATTTTTTTTTTGCGGTTTCTTTTTTCTAAACCCTCTCACGTAACGCATCTCATTCGATCAAAAGCAACATTTTCCTTTCTTTTCAGAAATAATCCTTGAAATTTTTCCTTAGTGGTCAAGGAGACTTAGACATGTTGTCTCTTCATATGTAATTGTTTATCTTTAGAAAAGCAATGTTTGGTCGTTTTAGTCTCAACAAGAGACTAGACTTTTCGTTTCAATTTTTTGTTTACACTTAAATCCAATAATTATATTCGCGTTTATGACACAGTCGCTTATCGTTGAATTAAAGCTTTTAAATCCAGTGCTAATTTTTTAAAAGATATTAGAATTTTACCTCCTAGAAAAAGTTTTGATAGTAGAATATTTCTACATTAAAGATAATTTTTACTAGCGTTGTAATTAACTTTCTCCAGCTGCTTCCAACAGTTCATCAGTTATTCACAAAACTAAGTAAGTTACAAACTTGTTCCTGGTTAAATGTGTAAAATAGGCAATAACTTTGATCGATGTATAAAGCAATAAACCACGAAATAATGCTGTATCCACGCATATAATGTAAAGCTTAAAACAGCTTTCAACTTACGGATTTTTTCCTTCTTTCATTACTTTTGCAGTATATAGGAAAGGTTCAGGACAGATCTAGATCGTCAAAAGTAAACGCACTGAATGCTCAAATATCAGGGATTAGTAACGTTTGATCTTGGGAAAGACGATCACTAATGAGTAGGGCACCACTTTAACGCCAACTAAATGTGAAGAATTGTGGAGAAGTTCCGTTTTCTTTGTTTTGATTTCGCATTTGAATCTTCGTCATTACATGTTAACACTAATGAGGCTTTACCTTCCGTTAAGGATGTTGACCGATATGATGAGATTTCCTCAAGCCGTTCTACCGTAGATAATTAGGAATGCCCTGAATCTGAGGCTGAGAAAATCGGTTAACATTCAACTCGAGTCGAGGATTTTTGTCTTCCGCTCCCCAACAAGAACAATCTGACCTCATTTGCATATCCACGCAGGTCTTTAACTTCATCATTTATTCATCCCCAACATTGTATTGGCCAACTATGAATTACGGCAGACGCCAATCTGAGTAATCTCTTCAAAAATTGCCGTTTCATTGCAGAAGTTTGATATTTCCTTTAAAAATTGCCATTAATTACAAGAGCTGGGTAGTATTTCTACTTTCATACAATCAAGGGCAACTTATGAACCGGATGCAATTAAGGTGAAAGACAAAAAATAAGAGCTTAACATGAGGCGCATCACTCACCGTTGGCTCAGGAGGTAGAATATTGACAATTATCTGACCTCACACGAAAGCTGAATGCAAACTAATGCAGGATATAACGAAATGAAAGTCGCTACAAGTTATTGTACCTTAGTCAACATCATACTTCATTCTTCTTGTCTGCGTTTCTGAGTAGTCGGCAGTCCTGGTGCAAACCGTCGCAGATATATCCTGTTTCGACGAGAGCTTTCTTGTTTAATGTAAACAAACGCGAACGTTTGTCATTTCGTAAGTAATCAAGGTGGGTGGTATGGTTAAATGTAGATAAATAAATGATGAAACGTTTTTTAACACGTGCGGGTCTATCACGTATAAGACGATGCCGCGTTGCTTAGGGATAGACAACGTGAAATGCCAAGTGTTAGGCATCAGTAGCTACTAAGAAAACCTGACAGTATGCCTTTACTTCTTTGTGGCAGCTAATTACAGCGAATTTGGCGATTCTTTTGTCCAGTCACTAAAATTAAGTTTCTAAATAAAAAAGATGCAGTGGTCACTAAATTAAAGGGATGTAAATTTTGTTCATTTTCTATGTGTTGCGGGACGATTGTGTAGTGTATGTATGCTAAAACCACAAACCGCTCGAAGACAGGCTCGTTAAATTTTGTGCAAATTGGAATATTCGTTATCTGATCAAAATTCCAATACAAAACAAACACCACAGAGAGTTATATTTTGTCTTAAAATTTATCAAAGTATAATAAGTAAATACCCGGTTCGATTCAAGCAAGGAGTGATACTTTCCCACAACCCTACCTCGCACCTTGACCAAACACGTAAAGACTGATCGAATTCAAACTGTGTCAAAACAGCAGTGATCGAGGCGACCTATTTAAATCAAAACCAAAGAAGCCAAAATCAATGCACAATAGAAAAGTTCTATACGCTACGAAACCTCGTAGTATCAACTTGATGAAATATTTATTTCTTTTTGCGAAGTTGAGTGCCAAATTTCAAAAATGCCCAAGCTTGGCCTTTGGGATTTCTGGAGGTCCCTCGAAATGAAGCTTTTCACCAACCTTTCTATAGTTCCTAATTCTTTCAGATAACTGATAATCCAAAGAAAATTAGCAGAAAACTCTAGTTCACTGTAATCATCAAAACGTATTCCCTCCAGCTCAGCAATCAGTTTATTTAAGTTGTGACTGGGCATTCTCCACCGCCGTTTGGGTTATAGAGAGCTTTGGGCGCTATTGTTTCAGCGGGCGATTTTCAAAACGAGAAGCTTAATTACATGTCGATACGCATCATAATCCCTTGTTTTAACAAACAGCATTCTTTGACTACAAGGCAGGTGCTGGGATGCTTTTAACGCCAGATTCACATGTACTATGCTTGCAAGAAAGGAACTATTTTTGTTCATACGTGTCTGATTCGCGCCAAACTATTTTTGAACAAGATTTCATGCATCATGCATCATCCTTATTTAAAAAGTTTGACGCTA